GGTGCGTTCATACGAGATCCCGCCACCGCCGAGTTCCGCCCGAGAAGGCTGCCGCGGGGGTTTTAGTGGGTGAGAGTCCCACACTACCTCGGAGTCCCACCCCAGGACCCCAAGGTGTGCATAATGCATTTCCCCCGCGAAAAAAAAAAAAGGTATTGAACCCGGACTCTGCGTTGTTGCCATTTTTACCTTCAGCACGGCTAGTACTAGAGTCGGCTGTGGCAGAATTGTAATGGGAACATGTGGCAACAGCGTAACAAAACAATCGATACGATCCAGCATGTGTTGCGAGGTTACATTTACCGATTCCCTCTGTTTTATCGGTGCTCGGTGGTAACATGGCCAAAGTGACTGACAAATACCATAAGCGCTCCTAGCGGAGAATCCTGAACTATACCACTGTATATTCCTCAGTCTGGAGTCTAGACTGTGGACGCGTCAAATCGTAGAATCCAACTTACGCCTTCCACAAATGATAAATTAACAAAAATCGGATTTCTACGATAGTGTGACAGTGGTGTACAGGGTGGTCTGGTTAGCTTTTGTCGAGAAAACAATTAAATCGTGTGATGTTTGACAAAATGTGACTTGAGCAGCTATCTTGTGCGCTTCATCGGCGTCTGTCACAATCGCACAATTTCTAAAATTTTAATTCTTTCAACGTATGGTGTTTATTGGTGTTTCTAAGGACCAGACCACTCTGTAGTGAAGTCTACCCGTGAGTACTATACCCGTGAAAACTTCATTTGTGTAATTATCGAGGCAGAAGTTGGATTTTACGAAATCGAATCGAAGTTTCTCTCGTGCATTGCGTATACATACAGGGTTCCTGTTTGTGTGAGCGCACGGACACAGCCCACGGCCCACGGAGCCTGCCCCTTTAACCAGGCTTTAGAGAAGTGGATGAATTATCATCCTGGAAGAGTGGTGACAGTTTTCTAAATGAGCAAAATTTTTGCCGAGTCTTACCTGAAGGCTGCAGTTCCTTTAAATGCCATTAATGCATTGTATAACCCCGATATTTTCTCGGAAGTCGACTTTATTGATGCTGAAACGACTGAACAGTCTATAGTCTATGGAATCTGACACTTCGGAACCAACTCCTTCTACTAGTTCAGTACCTAATACGATACAGCCTTCGACTTTATCTATTACTTTACATTCCTTTCCGCAAGATACGATTATGCAACTATCTCGTCAAGCCACACCATCACCCACATCTGCAGAACAAAATAATTCACCATCGCTCTCTATTATTACAACTTCACCCTCCACAATAATTATGCGTAGTCCTATGTCACCGATTGCATCAACTTCCTTCATTAATTTCACTCCAAGCAATATTCAACCATTGCCAAGGATAGCAGGGAAAAGAAGTCACTCTAGGAGAGTACGAGGTGACACATCAGTACTAATCAGCTTTCCCTATAAAAATCAATTGGAAGAGGACAGAAAAAAGAAAACTAATGTGGAACGGAAACGAGCTTTACGACTGGAAAAGAAAATAAAGATTTCTACTACCTCCCAAAAGGAAAAGGGAAAGGAAGGAGGAAAGGAACCAACCAAAGAAGAAATAATAAAGAAAAAGGCACCAAATGTCGGAATCCTCTTCAGACGAAGACGACACAGAATGTCTGTTTTGCAATGAGAAGCATTCGAGAAACAAAGGAGTGAAGGGTGGATA